ACAGGAGGGGTAGGGGCCAGGCTTGAGGAGAGCAAAGAAAGACTGAGTCAGCCATGGAGGGAGAGTGGAGAAGGAGAGGAAACCCAGCCCTTCAGGAGAACAGGTGGACCCACAGTGTAAGACGCGCCTCTCCCCATGTTTCTTCTGTATTCCGTTCTCTCTGTCCTGACTTTTGTTCCATCACCTAGGACTGATAGCAGATGTGGGTTCCTCCCAGTTCTTGCTAAACCTCATTTACCGAGAGACACAAAATCATCTTGGTCAGTTAAGCAGAATTCTGAGTTAAACCAACATTTTGGGATCACTGGCATTCCATGTCCCCACCTCAGGGGGCACGACCCCTTCTCTGGGGGTGTGATTGTGACATTTTTGATTCTAGGAGCTCGGGAAGACCCCGGCAGGGAAGCCTTTGGGAGCCCTCGCCCTGCCTGGCGCTCTGCCGGTCCTGATTCATGCAGCATGCGGTGGTCCGAGGGGAGCCAGCGGCAGGTGGACCATAAAGGCCTGTCTTGTTTGTGGCCGGTTCACCCTGGTGAAACGGTATTTATAAACTTGCTACAGGCAGTTGATGCTTTGCTGGGCACAGTATAAAATGCATGAAGCCAATTCGTGCCTCACCCTCTGGGTGTTCGCAAGTGACACGAGAGACTGGGAGACTGAGCAATCAGCCTGTGTGAACGCTGGCTATTAAATGTCACAATAAATGTTTTCTGTTTTTTTCCCCAAGCAACACTGAGGTAGTGGAAGCAGAACTTTTGAAATCAGAATGAAATTATTACTATTTAATGCTCTTTTGACAAGTTGCATCCCAAAGCAGATGGTTGGGATTTGGTTGGCATTGAAGGACAGGGTGAACGCTGAGGTGAATAACAGCATGGATCGCATGGATCGTTCTGGAGTGGAGATGTATGGGGCAAAAGTTGCTTTATCCTCTACTATATTTTTGGTGAAGGTGAAGCGTGGTGGTTTTGCAAAATTAGCTTTGGGGCTGCACAGACCAACCCCAAATCCCAGCAGTGCCAGTCTGGGCCAAAGACTTCAGTTTTGCGTGTCTCCACCGTCTCCTCCGTGAAAGGGGATAGTAATAGGCCTCCTTCATCAGGTTGCCATGGGGATTAATGTGTCCATAGAGCCCAGCACCTGGAAACTTGTCTGGCAGGTGCAGAATACTCACATTAGAGATGAGGCAACTTGAACTCACCTGAAATGATTTGACCTGCGCCCCAGAGTTGAGACACCAGCCCGCCATTCTTTCAGGCATTTCCCATCCCAGGTAACTATGGAAATACGCCCAGGGAATATATTCTTAGTCACTTACAAAATTAAAGTATAGGCTGGGCACGGTGGCTCACACTTGTAATCTCAGCACCTTGGGAGGCCGAGGTGGGTGGATTACTTGAGGTCAGGAGTTTGAGACCAGCCTGGCCATCATGGTGAAACCCCATCTCTACTAAAAATACAAAAATGAGCCAGGTGTGGTGGTGGGCACCTGTAGTCCCAGCTACTCGGGAGGCTGAGGCAGAAGAATGACATGAACCTGGTAAGTGGAGGTTTCAGTGAGCCAAGATTGTGCCACTGCACTCCAACCCAGGTGAAAGAGTGAAACTCTGTCTCAAAAAAAAAAAAAAAAAGGTATAATTTACATACAATAAAATTTACTCTTTTTTACTGGACAGCTGTGCCAGCTTTGACAAAGGCATAATGCAGTCATCCCATGGGAGGGCCCCTGAGCCCCCTGCATTCCCCTGTCCCCTTCCCCACCAGCCACTGACATGCTCTCCATTCCTATAGCTGTGCCTTTTCCAGAATGTTATGAAAATCGAGTCATACGGGCTGCAGCCTCTTGCATATGTCTTGTTTTATTTATCACTGTGTTGTTCAGGTGCATCTGTGTTGTAGGTAACAGTGGTTGGTGCTTCTGTGTTACTGTGTCGAGTTCCGTTGTATGGATTCCCCTCTTGAGGGGACATTCGGGTTGTTTCTAGTGTTTGGGGATTACAGATAAAGCTGCTAGAGACGTCCACCTAAGGGTTTTGTAACTGTAACAGGTTCACTGTCCCATGTGCATGCCAAGTCAATGTGCTGCGGCTCTGGGTTGCAGCAGAGAAAGAGTTTTAATCATAGAACCACCAAAACAGGAGGAGGAAACCTCAGATTGTCTGCTGGAGGAGTTTGGGGCTAGGTATTGTTAAGTGTTTTTGGAGCAGGCCTAAGTGGGTTGAAGAGCGTGGGGTGAAGGGACAGGGAGATGAAGAAACTGCATTGCAGTGCTGATTCCTTTCCTCTGTGGAGGGTTTTCAAACCAGTTGGCACCAGCCGTTTCCCTGGGATTCAGGATCCGAGAAACACCTTAAGCAATTCTTCAACAAAAGACTTATGATCCTAATATCAGAAATCCTGTTTGCAGGAACGTTGAGGATGCAGATGACCAGTATCTAGTGCTGCGTGACTTGGGATTACGAGGAAGTGGGCCGAAGGGCAACCTGTTCCAGGCTTAATTATCACTGTATGGCTGTCCAGAGTTCTTGTTAACCTTATGAGGATGCCTTCAGTTTTTGTGAATGTAGGTTTTCACTTCATTTGAGGAGGTAGCTAGGAGGAAAGTGGCTGGGTGCTACGGAATATGAATGTTTACCTGTGAGAGACTACTGAACTCTTCTAAAGTTGCTGAACTATTTTTGCATTCAGACTAGCAGTGTTATACAAAGAGCACGTTATACGAAGAGTAGGAATTTTGTTTTGTTTTCATGATTCTTAGAGATGTTACTTGTATCTTATTGTCATTTTAATTTGCAGTTCCCTGATGAGTAATGGTGCTGAGCGTCTTTTCAAGTACTTATTTGCCATCTATCTTCTTTGGAGAATTGTCTCTTCATCTCTTTTGCCCATTTTGCGGGGAGGGGAAGATTGTTTTCTCATGATTGAGTTTTAAGGGTTCTTTGTGTATTCTTGGTACTAATCTTTAGCAGATTTATGATCTCCAGTCATTTTCTCCCTGTGTAGTTCTTTTGTTATCTCAGTAGTACCTTTCAAAGAGCAGAAATTCTTTATTTTGATGAAGTCCAATTTATCAGTTTTTTCTTTTACACATTGTGCTATTTGTATCATATCTAAGAAATCTTTGCTTAGCCCAAACTCACATGTATTTTCTTCCGAAAGTTTTATAGTTTTTGAAGTTCTACATTTAAGATCTGTGATCTATTTAAAGTTGAGTTTTGTGCAGTGTGAGAGAGTAGGGCATGAAGTTTATTTATTTGCCCGTGGTACTGTGTACCTTTGTTACAAATCCATCAACGTCTGTATATGTTCAGGGGAATACTTTTCAAATGAGTTTCTGCCTACTTGCTTTTGGAGAACAATTGTAAAAATTGTTTCTGTAATCGTGTAGTATTTTCCAGTGTTCAAAGTGTTACCCTATTCATTTTCCAATTTGATTTTGAGCTTTAATGCAACCCCTTGAAGTATCTGGCGTGAATGTTATTTTCCCCTCTTACTTAAAGACACAGGTAGAAGGTGGCAGAGCCAGAGTCAGATCACTTAAAATCTAGCAACTTTTCCCAACAGAAGAGAACAGAGGGACTCAGTCTCTGACTTTCCCCCAACTGAATTTAATTGTAGCTTAGTTCAGTACTAGCTTTATGAACAGGGACAAAGTAATGAATGTCTTCATTGTCGGTTTTTTCTCCTTCCTACTCAGCTACCTTATAATAGGAGGTGATGTGATTTGGCTGTGTCCCCACCCAAATCTCATCTTGAACTGTAGCTCCCATAATCCCCCTGTGTTGTGGGAGGGGCCTTGTAGGAGGTAATTGAATCATGAGCACAGGTTTTCCCTGTGCTATTCTGATGATGGTGAATACGCCTCCTGAGATCTGATGGTTTTATAAGGCACAATTCACCTGCACACACTCTGTTGTCTGCTGCCATATAAGTTGTGCTTTTGCTCCTCCTTCACCTTCCACCATGATTAAGAGGCCTTCCCAGCCATGTGGAACTGTGAGTCCATTAAACCTCTTTCCTTTATAAATTACCCAGTCTCAGGTATTTCTTCATAGTAGGATGAAAATGGACTAATATAGGAGGTCTGTAAGAATTAAAGATCAAATATACACGGGTCCTAGCACAGTGTGTAGCATGACAGGATCTATCATGAATATCATTACTCTGTTTTTTTGAGGGTGTTTGTTTTCTAGAAGATACATTACTGAAGAACAAAATGATTCATAATTAAAGTATATGCAGATATACAGGAAAATATTTTTGGATTGGAACAAAGACAGTTGACTTTAATCATTGAATGTAGAAGAGTTGAAGTGAATTTAATGGAAGAGGATTATTCTGAGGGGGACAGGTCTTCATTTTGCTTTAACCTCACAGAGCTCTGCAGGGGTTAAAGGAGAAAATCACATGCACAGAAATGCACATTGTATAGGCACTTAGGCCGCAGGTGGTAAGTGTTGGCTTCTGTTAATAATAATTTTATTATGTGTCAAGACAACCTGTAAGAATTTAGCATTCTTTGAGCATTCTTTGTAGATTAGAGGTTCGTTTTCTTTTTTGAGACAGGATCTTGCTCTGTTCCCGGGGCTGGATTGCCATGCTGTGATCGTGGCTCACTGCAACCCCTACTTCCTGGGCTTAAGTGATCCTCTTGCCTCAGCCTCCTGAATAGCTGGGACTACAGGCACAAGCCACAAACGCCAGGGTAATTTTGTTGTAAAGGTGGAATTTCGCCATGTTGCCCAGGCTGGTCTCAAACTCCTGAGCTGAAGCGATCTGCCCGCCTCAACCTCCCAAAGTGCTGGGATTGCAGGTGTGAACCACTGCTCCTGATGAATTTTTTCTTTGCTCTGTTTTCATCGTGTTAGCCATCAGCCCCTCATCTGGAAGTGATCTTTCTCTTCTCAGTATTTCTGCGGTTCTTCTCATAAGGATTACAAATTAGTATGAGCACTCCCTAACCTGCATGCTGCTCAGCCTTCTTGTTTCTTGGTTTGCAGGGGGCAGCACTGAAATACCTACCAACGATCGTCAACGATGTGAAATTGGTGTTTGATCCCAAAGAGCTCAGGTAAGTGTGCAGCCTAGGCGAATGCTTGTCACGTGCCGTGTGTGACCTCCTGCTCAGTGCACTTAGTTTATGGGATGCTCAGGGTTCTGCCTCATGTCTCCATATGTCAGTGCCCTGGATCATCCTGGAACACGTGTTGCTGGTGGTGTCTGTGACTCTTTGATAATTATGACATGATATGGAAAAGGCATCACCAGTCAACTCTCAGAATGTTTTTAAAGAAGATTGTTTACAGTCTAATTGGCATACAATGCCCATTTGGCATTTTGCGTACTTTGAGGTTTGAATTTCAAGATGTGGTTGTTGGTTTTGCTCTTGTTTTCAGCACCTAAAAATCCTGACATAAGAGCTTTAATATTCCTGTGCCAGCTCCTGCTTCTATAATGGAAGCAACTCCTCTTTGGGAGGGGCCCTGAGCCTCAAGCAGAAGACTCAGAAGTTGCTAAGAAAATAATTTTTAGAAAACCCCACAAACAAACTTGGAGAAAGCTGGTCACTGGGCTTGCAGACCAAGGAGTGAGATTGGACACCAAATCTTTCCTTTTCTCTCCCTAACTTGCCGCCTCTCAGTGGCCAGATGCGCTGTTTGTTTCCTCATCTGTTGGTATCACTGCATTCTGAAAAGTGCCATTGTGAGCAAATGGGATACACAGCCTTTATAATTTATTTTTTAAGAGATAGGGGCCTCACTCTGTTGCCCAGGCTGTAGTGCCGTGGCGTGATCATAGCTCACTGCAGCTTCAAACTCCTGACCTCAAGCGCCCCTCCTGCCTCTGCCTTCAAAGCACTGGGATTACAGACGTGCGCCACTGCTCCCACCCCAGGGATGCACAGTCTTTTAAACCGCAGACATTTAATAGCACAGTCCTCAACTACTTTTTGTTTTGGTTTTGATTTGACACAATAAACTACCTGTGGGTGAAGACGCCATTTTTTACCGGCCAGCGAAGCCCTCCTAAATATTAGTAAAGGGCCATCTGTCCACTGAGCAGTGAAACTGAATAAAAAATGCTCATCCTTCTTATTCTTTATGTCTACCATAGGTCACTCGTGCCCTGGAATTGAAGGGCGAGAGGCTCTCTGGAAGGCGCTGTCCCCCACGAATCATTGGGAATCTGATGTTCCCTAGGATTTAGTGTCCTGCAGGGAGACATTTATTTTCCGCTCCCGGGGCACTAACAGTGCTGGCCATTAGCTTAGCAGGCCCTACATGAGAAAAGGAGAAACACACGGGCTCACGGGCAGTGTCTGCCCACCTGGCACACTGTAGAGTCTTCTCCTTGGCATGTGCTTCTCCAAGAGTGGGCCCCGAAATGGCAGCTCCAGTAGCGCTTGGCAACTTGTTAGAGAAAGCCAAACTTTGGCTTCCTCCCCAGACCTTTTGAATTAGAAACTGCACAGTGGGGCCTGGTCATTTGGTTTTAACAACCCTGCTCCCCACGCAGGTGCTTCCAGGGCTTTCTCATATTTGAGCATTTGAGCAGCTCAGGTCTTGACAAACTGCGAGGAAAGCGGAGAAAGCTGCAGCTGGTGTCGGCTGTGGCCATGCTCTAGGCCTGTCTCATGGTGCACGCAGATCAGCTCCTCACCCGCGAAGGGGTATCGTCGTTGCTG